GAAAAGTGAATTTACATATGAACAGTATCTGTATATATGCTACAGATATATATTATTTATATATAATAAAGTTACAGAAGATATTTTTCTCATATGAAATAAATTTGCACGATTTTTAAAATGGTATATTATATTGTGTTGCATATAGGATAAGCAAATGCATTTTGTAACTTGTTTTTCAAAGGATAACAATATTAAGGAAAATCAGGTATGACAATGTACATTATTATGTTTATTAGAACTTACATAGTATAATGCTTGATCTCTACATGTACATCTATTCTAGGGATCTCTCAAAATATGCACTAAGTCGGACAAATAATGTTGAAAAGTTTTTATTATAATTGTCGTATCAGTCAATTGTTTTAGAAGCCTTAGTGTGTTATCTCTTATTATAATTTTGTTAGTAAAAATTGATATCTTTAACCTTATTTCATGATAATTTAGGAAGATAAACAATTCTAATTGATTAGTTGTATAATATAAATTTCTCATTAGCTCGACTTTTTTTTACGCTAGTTCAGTGGCCCTGAATAATTAATTTAGTACGACATTTAATTTTTCAGTTATTGATAAACAACTATTGACAGAAGCTATGTGCGTTTATGTGAAAAATACAACAACAACAACAAAACAAAACAAATCAAAAACATAACGAGGTTTTAATATTACATGACATGTTATTTTTTATTTCGAATTACCAGTGTTAGAAATAATATGTTATTTACATTACTGTAGATGTTAAATTGTAGGACATTGGCAATGTCAGATTATCACGGCAATGAACAACAACAAAAATACCATAGATTTTAATTAACGTAAAATATTACAGTGTATATTTCTATAAGCTAAAAATACTTTTTTTGTAATTAATATGATAGGTACATGTAATTGTGATAGGGTTTAAGTGGTGATTAAAGTTAAATATTGACCTTAAATAATGTCTCTACAACCTAGTTGTTGAAATGTCATGACATCTTAAAGTGTGTTATTTATACTAGTTTTAATGAACTAACGATAACAGTAATCTTAAGTAAAGCTTTAAACAAATTTTCTTTAGATGATAACAATTTTGTAGTATCAAAGGATTACTAATGTCTTAGTATATCTATTTTACAATTAGTATTTTCTTTTGAAAGTGATATAAATAGACTCCGAGTGTGATAGTTTAAATCCTAGGATTTTAAAACTTTTATCCATTAAATAAATATTATTCCTGTAATGTTGGCACTCTCCGAGTTTCACTTAAAAGGTAAAATTAAACAAAATATAACCTATTAAAGGAAATATATACATACAATACGAAGTCAAATGATAGGTTGCTCCTACGTATGTCATGTTCGCTTTAATATTCATAGCCGAGATGTCTATTAACATCGTAGATATAATATTCTATATGCACTGAGCCTTGGAATAATTGGAATAAGTCCATTGGAAATATTGGCATCTCATATTGAATACTGTTCATTGTATTTGGAAAAGATGTGAATTGTGGATATAATGAAGTTGAAACAAATAAATGGATAAGCAAAGTATAGTAAATTTATTCATTTACCTTAATGTTTATCATTATTGCATATAACAAAATAAAAACTTTGAGGCAAAATTTTAAGGAAATGAATGTTCAAGATTTTCCTGAATTATTTCGGGTAAATCTAGTATTCCTTTTTCCTTTCTGGAATATATGATAAGATTAAGTGAGCAAAAAGAACATGTTGATGTGCTCAATTATCTTTTCGTCTTCTTTGCTTAAGTTTGTAATAATTGGAATAAGAAAAATAATATCATAACTTTTTATTGCGTCTATGTTAAATGTTATTTAAACTGGCAAAAAATCCAAGATTCATATTTTTGAATATTATTTCGTATGTATTTTACAGTTTAAAAAAATATAGAGTTACATTATAATCATTTTTTACTTCTGAAATAAATATCTAGGTAAGGGCACTTTTCACTTTTGAAATTTGATTTGTGTGTGATGTTTTTTGGTTATTTTTTCTGTAAAAAATAAATCATGGGCAAATTCCAAGTCAGATATTTCAAGGCATTGCTAATGATCATTTAAGAAGCACAGTTGCTTTGTTAACGTCTCATTTATTGTATATTGCAGACAATACGATATGCCAATACAAGAAAGAACATGCTCGTTAACTCAATCATAGTAAACAATATTCATTTTATTACTCGTTAGATATCTAAATATCTAAACGGTTCTTATACATTATTTTTTTATTTTCTGTTGTTTTTTTCTTTTATGTTGTTTGCCTTTTTATGTATTAGTTTTTCTTTTGTGACATTTTAACTGCGAACGCATAAAAGTATTATATTATATTATTATGCGCTGCTTAAGTTGTTCTCCAAATGCTTATATTGCCCATTAGCTATATTTGTTAATATCAGTGCAGTCATTATACTAAATAATTAAAACCATTTTATTCCCTGTGTGACTATGGGGTTACATGTATAGGTGTAGGCATCAGAAATGCAGCCACCGTTTCCCCCTGCATGATCGTAAGAGGCGACTAAATGGGTTGGAATAACTGGAGTCTATGCATTTCGTAGCTCCATCAGGTCAGGTTTTGATCCGTGAAAATGCTTTGTGTTTGCAGCACCCGTGGTTAGCCAAAATAATATTTTCTGTTTCTTTTCTGTTTCTCTTCTGTTTCGGTACATATGACCTAAGTTGTGTTGGTGCGCTTTAAAACCTACCGAAACGGCAAAAACTTCTCCCGGTTGACACATTTCAGATTTTGAACATAATATGCTTTCTAAACTAAGTTTTGTTACAAAAATATATTGGATGTTTGATAACTATTTTTGATCCTTAGGCTAGTACTCTTCTACCTAATTTCTCTAGTAATTTCCAAAGTATGATAATACTTAGTGCGTTTACACTGGTCTGAAATACATAAAGAGTATTTTTTTTAAAACCCAAACCAGTGACATAGATAAATTAGAATCGTGTTCTGAAGTTAAATCAATTATAGAAAAGGCTAGATTGTTTTAAAGAGAAAACATCGCAAGGTTATACAAAAATATATTGAACAGATCAGTGATGACCTGTTATGTTTCATAACACTTTTATCAGTGAAGCTTTGTACTTTTGAACACTAATGGAAAAGATCGTTTGTTGTGAAGATGTTAATCAAAACCACCTAAAGCGATTATTAAATTGTGTTTGCAGTCCAAGGGTTAAACCTTACTAAAATCTATGTAATATCCAGAGATATGTTTACAAAATTGTGTTACAAAACAAGATCAACACTATCTTTCTCACCTTTAGTTTATCTAATACCCTCTAAGTTAAGAGATAATTAAATATACTTGAACGATTATCTCGATGTATTGAAGAGTTAAAGCGTGACTCTTAAAGAAAAGTAAACACATTAAATGTTTCAAAATAACATTAAAAATAAATGAATAAAAATAATGGATAGTTTAAATATATAAATATAAATACAAGTAGTTAAAAAGTAAGTGATATTTTGCATATTAAATGCACACTGTGACAATCAATTATCAATTTAGATACTTGTACCAAATTTCTACTCCGTTTATAGCGGAAAAAGGGTTGTTTCTGTATGTTTCGATATGTAATCACTTATAACAAAATATAACAATTTCTAATTGTTCACTTAAATAATCACGAACCTAGAGGCGTGCTGCTTTAATGTCAAATATTTGTTGGGTAATCATTTTATCAGTATGTTCTTATGATGATGATATATTAATATTCTAAATTTTAAGAGAGCACTTAACATATGAATGTAAACATAATCTTAATGATTTAATGTTTGTTTCCTTTTCTATATTCAATTTTATCTTTTCGCATGTAAAGTTTATCGTGTTATCAGTTATTCTCATCTAACAGGATGTTACATGGTAACATTATGTTTTTTTATATTTATCCTTTGATATACGACATAGAGTGCAATAAAAATATAAAGACAATGTTTACGTATCCAACATGATAATACAAACATGTTAAAACATATCAAACAGTATTATCAATTACCAAATTATCATGTAACATACTATGTTAGATAATTAATAGATTAGTAATAGCATTCCGGAAAATTATAACCGGCTTTATTTAGCTTTATACTTTAATGCATAATTTTACGTACATAATTTAAATTTTCTCAGCCCCCGTCTTAATACATATACATGTACTTGTATCATTGTATGATTTATAATATACTTGATTGTTTTTTGATGTTTTGATAGATTTTGTACTCTACAATTTGTATTGCCTGAGTCATCTTGTCACGAATGAGAAGGCACATTATTTGCTAATTTAAATACGAATAATCATGAAAGAAAATATTTATTTCTGTTTTTGACATACATTTTGTACATATTTACAGATGGCAAACTATAAAAGAAAAATTGTTCTAAAAACTAGAGCATGCTATTGAGGTGAACTGTATCACTGCCTTTTGATTGTGTAAAGACTGGGACAATATAGGTCACCAAAATTGCAAACTTATGAAATAGTTCTTATATATTCAGCTTTGTTAACCTAAACACAAAATTTAAACACGTACTTATTAAGGGCAATGGAAACAAAACAGGAAAAGAACAAACAATATGTACTTGACTTTGTTTAACGAGATAATTTAGTTATACTATAAGTATAATAGAAAACCGACGAAAGAAGTGTAATGCCATCTTGAGAAATGTGCTATAGTATTTGTGAGATGAAAGAATGAAATGAAAATATTAATGATCGATGGTTGAAAATCTTCTATTATATATTGGTATATATTATTAGATATGTTTTGTAGGCAAAGTTTCAAGTTCAACAAATAATTGGAAGTAAGATTGATAAGATCTTGTCACCAGTCATTTAATTCTTGGAATGTCATGGTTAAAATGCTGCTTTTAAAACGTTTTGCATTGTTGATAAAATCGTTAACTTTTTCTGTTCAATTGCCGATAATAGTATGTTTGTCAATTAATTATTTGCTGCTTTTAAACATGTATTTATATATTTTCAGTGTCAAATGGGTCAACAGTCAATATTTTTTTGAGATTTGATAATATGATTTTAACGAGGAGAATCTGAATGCTGATTGGAAGTTACACCGGACACAACCTGCTAATAAGGAAATGTGTTTCCACTGATGTAGGAAATAAGTTCGAGAAGTTTGGAATATATTTCACAAGGACATCTTTGAATTGAATTTTTTTATAATAGATAGAAGCTGAATGTACGAAGAAGAACGAAGTGAAGAATGATAATGAATGATGACCTCACAAAGGTCACGGATATGACATCAGAATATTCTGACGAGAACACATCAAATTTGTATGATTATAACTTTGACTATGGGGATGAATATATGTATCCAGGTTACAAATTTGAGCGACCAGTGTACTTATATGTTTGGGAAATATTAGTAATTTTGACATTCCTCCAAAATTTATTAGTTTTATCAGTGTTTATGCAGAGGCGCATGCGCAAGCCAACTAATGTAGTGTTATCCGCAATCGCAATATCTGATTCCTTGACAGGTTTGGTTACGTTACCAACTTACATAATGGTGTTTCAAAGATACGATCCATATAACTACAATTATGATTATGATTACAGCCAATACCCAGAAATGAACAATGACATGGACCAAAATAAGACGACCGAGTTTGATCAAATCAACAACAGCTCTTCTACAACAATCCAAAACTCATATTTACAAAGTCTACCAACAACACAGAGTTCAGAAGGAGTTTTGGATTCATCCTTAAAGTTAACGACAGTATTTTACAATTCAGCTACCATTGCACCCATAGACGGATATACCCTCAGCAAAGATCTGTGTCGAAGTTTTATGATCTCGAAATATTTCTTGTCCAAATCGTTTCATACAATTTCAATATTTTTAACATTGTTTCTTGAAATTCAGAGATATGTTTCAATGGCATATCCGTACAGATATGAAACGTGTTTTAATCGATATAAAGTAGTTAATTTATACTGTGTATTTGCATTCCTATTTTGTCCTGTACTTCATTCCTTTCATTTGGTAAGAGAAAAGGCGGAAGGAGGCTTATGCCAATGGGAATATGCGGGAACAGGATGTGGCGAAGATTGTATATATTTATGGATAGCTTTTATACTGCGACATTTATTTCCATGTGTGACACTTGTGATATTTACTATTTTGTTTATTAGACAATTACGAAAAGGGGAGAAAAACTTTCGACGGGTTGACAGTTCGTCGTCCCAATACTCGAGAAGAGTTAGTGAAAATCGCCGTATATCTCTTGTTGTGACGACCATTGTTGTTGTTCGACTGATTCCAGAGATTCCATTTAGTATTTTTCTGCTATACAATAGCATTGACGGAACTATAAACAACGGTGATGAAATTAACCTCGAGACTAATAGAATTTTTCACATGTGTTACGAAATATGCCTAGTGTTTTCTTTTCTAGCTAATTTTTATATATACTTAATTTTCAATAGCTCTTTTAGAAAACGTTTGTATCGAACATATATACAACCCATCAGAAAACAAATTTCTAATTCCTTTGTATTGAATGAATTGACTACTACTTTAAGTCCTTCTAGAAAAACAACAGTAAAGAAAACAGTTACAATATCTCCTGGAGAGACTTTAGAAATGAAAACAATGCATTCAGATGTTTCAGAGAAAATGATAAAAATTGTGCAATAGTCAATTAACTGACCGCAAGAGGTGACTTTCAAATCCATTCTTTATATTAAAGATCTCTTTTTATATAATATGCTATTTTGGATTGCACTTACATACTGTGTTTGTTACATTGAGTCTCTGTTGAACTATTTGAAGACTATTTTAACATATAAGGTGGAGATGTCTTAGATAGAAACATGTGTAAAATTATTAGAATTGTAAAATATAATACATTTAGCTCATCATTTTCTTGATAATCTCTAAACAAAATTATTTTGTAAAGAATTGTATGTTTGAACTTTTTTAATTATAAAAGTATTGACACTTGTTGAAGTTTAAACCTGTATTACTTTCACATCATTCACTTTCATATATTCCATCGACTTACTGTAAATAAACGTTTCCTAGTATTTCATATGGGAATTATACTTTTTTTACCGAATACCGTGTCGTCTGTGATTCATAGAAAGACAAATCATTGAATAGTACATAATTATGAACATAGTCAGTTATCGACCAATTTCTAATGTAATTCCATGGTCAATCGAAGCATAAATTCAAGACATTAATTATTTAATTAAATTACTCTCTTATCGCGGTGTGTACCATCCGGAACCCATAATCGTAATGACTTCTGTTCATTGTATTAATGCAATTTGTATATTCGTATATAATTGCAAGTGATGATGAGTATATAAGAATACAGACATAAATATTTAACTATGATTGTGAAAGAGCATATCTTTGAATAGCAATAAACTGTTATAGTCAATTGCAATAAAAGTCAACAGCAAAATCATTCGTTTGCTAGAGTATATTAAAATATGATATTGGAAGGGAAGTAAGCTTTCCGATCCACTGGAATTTAAACAGTAATGGTAACCATGTCATCTTTTGTGGGAGTACTTCAACTTTGGCTCTTCAACATATATGCAGTCCATGTTCGTAAATAAATTTGCTTTTATCTCGTGCCATGTATGTGAAACGATTTTTTTAATTAAAATCTAGTTCGTGCATGATGCCACTGAAGTATGAGTGTCACTTATAAATAAGCGAGTAGTTTAGTAAAAACACATATTAAGTAAAGCTCGACAAATGTTATTTCTACTGACGCCAAGGCAATAGGACTATCAACATGTCTGTTTACAAGTCTTTCACACAGTTGCAATAAGACAACTTGTTCGTTTTCTTGTTTTACGTTATTTATTAATATATACGTATTGGGTTTATTTAACAGCAACATCATCATGTTTACGAATTAATGTTTTAATATCCCCGACGAAATTTTGTAAATTATTAGTTATCTATTAAATGCTCCACATGGTAAATAATGCTAAATTGTTAAAAAATAGCTTTAATTTCATCGATATATTTTAAAGGTTTTTTTAGTAAAACAATATCTTTTCACCAATTTTCTGTATTCCCATGAATTTTATATATTTAATCAAAATAAGATAAACCAATTTCATAATTGCATCTTGTTTCCTCCATTTTCCTGTCAAACAACATGCACTTGTAAAGATATATATCACTTTGTAATGCAATCATCATGTAATTATGATTTTCTCAGTTATGAAATTAATTTTGTCAATATTTATGAAATAATAATTACAACACACCATGCGGGATACATATTTTTAATGTCAGAATAGAAAATATTCATCAGTTATATGATTACTGATGCCATTCTTGATTGAAATTAATTTTCTTAATTGAAACACCAGAAAGCAAAAGCATGATATTTTCAAATGATAAGGGTTGTTGAAGCTAAAATACATCAACCTGATTACAATCTGATTTGATTTATTAATATGACTTGTGTGGAACGAAAATAAACAAAACAAAATCAAGTAGGACATTTGCCATCCTTCTTTTGTTTGATATTACAATGCGAAATAGAACGCACTTGCCATTTTGAAATAAGTCAATTATTCATTTGCTCGAAACAATATTTTTACTCGTTATTATTTATAATGTTAAACATAAAACTTCGTGAAAAACAGGAGACTAAGGAAAATATATAACAAAACATCTATTTCAACAATGTCTATACAATGGAAGAACAAATGCCAGAAAAAAATTGAAGAACAAGCAGGATTGGCTTGACTAACAACAGTGGTTAGTGAAAATTACCATCCGCTACACTGGTTACAGCAATGAGTTAAAATATGAAAAACAACATTAACAAGGAAGGTCGGTATTCAATTTACGCACCCCACACTGGACCGCCGACAAGAAGCCCAACATGATACCAAAAAAATGACAGGGCACACGAACACAAAGTATTATACATATTAAGTAAAGGTCTAGAATACTCAAATGAAGTTGTTAATAATGTCTGCATATTTCATTTTCTATTTGTTTAACGTTATGGTAAAATAAAAATAACAAGACGGAATATTTATTAATCAATAATTTATTATATATCGCGTTAAACATCTCGTGTATGACTTAAGATACATTTATCAGATATTGGTGTGTAATCCCTGCATAATTGATGCGTAATACACGTCTATTGCCTCACAAATAAGTCATATAAGTCTCTTTGTGTTGTAAAATTATTAAAGGAGTGGGGAGTAGCAAAAGGTTAAATAATTTGTAAATATGTGCGGCAAGCATTTAATACAGCGAAACTCTATTTACATTGCAGTACAAGAAGATATTACCCAATACTCATCTTCTTATACTAAGTAAACGTAACCTTTGGACTTTTATTATTATTGGTTTGAAACAAAACAGATATGATATGTATATGTTTACATACATATTTATTTTTACAATGATGCATATCTTTGCATTTACAATAATCTAGCGAAACTTTCTTCTTCTTTGTCGTCATTGCCTTCTTGATAAGATGTTCAAAACCACTAACATAGCTACTGTTAACGGTAAGATTATGGATTTTGAAGCCATTAGAATTTATTAATATGAGTTCAAGTACATCTTAAACTTAAGCGCATAAACGCTTTGGACGCCGTATGACATGTATTATCTGCCATATTTCTCTCCAAACGCAATTAATGTGCCGTTGTATGTTTTCATTTACTGGTAATAACATCTGTGTTCCCTGTTTTGTGTAACGGAAATCGTAGTATGACGATATGTTGTTGTTTTTTCTCTTCCTATTTATGGCACAAGAAGTAGACAAATTCATATTCCTGTCAAATCCAAAATTTCACCCTTGTCATGTTAAATGTTAAATTCTGCTTAATAAGCTGGTGTTAGTTGCGTGGACAGTAGATTGCACTTTCTATCACGCACAATAAAACGTACCTGCAACATTTTCGATTCTTTCGTTTTGTGCATTCTTTAGGGATTCTGTTTTTCTTTATTTTGCCCTTAAAATAAATGTGGTATTTAAGTATATAACGTGACAATTACAACGGATAATGAAGAGGTGTTCACATTTGTGTACTTTAAACATTTAGTAAATCACTTTAAACTATACTTTTGTACATTTTTATCACTTATAATTGGTAAGTCGTCATGGAATGTTATGCTTAACAGTATGACTTTGTACATAGTTGTGTTAAAATTATTTAAAAATTCAAACATTAAGTAGATAGTATATTGACAAAAAATGTCAGATATCTTTACTAAAAAATTACACAAATCTTTCTTTGAAACCTAAAACGCGAAAAATGTAAAAACATTGAAAAACGATGTATCATATATCTTTTATATCTTTAATACTCTTATAATATTACGGAGCCCCTAAGGTGACATTTTCGACACTTTTTCCCCGGCATTTAATTCGTTTTTACGAAATATTATTTCGTAATTACGAAATATTATTTCGTAATTACGAAATATTAATTCGTTTTTACGAAATATTATTTCGTAATTACGAAATATTAATTCGTAATTACGAAATAATAATTCGTTTTTACGAAATATTATTTCGTAATAACGAAATAGTAATTCGTAAAAACGAAATGTTATTTCGTAATATCGAAATAATAATTCGTTTTTACGAAATATTAATTCGTTTTTACGAAATATTAATTCGTAATTACGAAATATTAATTCGTTTTTACGAAATATTATTTCGTAATTACGAAATATTAATTCGTATTTACGAAATATTAATTCGTAATTACGAAATATTAATTCGTAAAAACGAAATGTTATTTCGTAATTACGAAATAATAATTCGTTTTTACGAAATATGTACTCTTTTTCCCCATTGTGAAATACATGTTCCCATCAGCAATGTTTTAATTTTTGAGGTTATTAATCTTTTCTGACATGTTTCTTTAAAAAGAAACATGCTATATTATTACTTTCTTTTATCATATACATTAGTTAAACTAAAAGGGGGGCTCCAGATTTTCACTCATCTAATCAATTTAAAAAAGTATATTTCTTTACAAGTTATGTGATCATAAAAAAGCATAATATTTGATTTTAAAACTCATCGACAGAACGATGGATTTGAAGCACAGGACCCCTATTTTAACAAAATTTTCATAGCGCTGTACAACCACGGCTGTGGCGGCAACGCTATTGACAGCCGATTATTTTAATTTAAGTGTACATAAGTGTTAAGTTGTAAAACTAGGGGAGAGAAAAAAGCACTATTTATATTGCTTTAACATGCCTTCTATTTAGTCAGGAACTTAGTGTTAAGTCCTTCTTTATAAATATTACCAAAACTCTTTTACACCCTAGAAAAAAAATCGTTTTTACGAATTATTATTTCGTATTTACGAATTATTATTTCGTAATTACGAAATAACATTTCGTTTTTACGAATTAATATTTCGTAATTACGAAATAATATTTCGTAAAAACGAATTAATATTTCGTAAAAACGAATTAATATTTCGTAAAAACGAATTAATATTTCGTTTTTACGAAATAATATTTCGTAATTACGAATTAATATTTCGTAAAAACGAATTAATATTTCGTAAAAACGAATTAATATTTCGTAATTACGAATTATTATTTCGTAAAAACGAATTAATATTTCGTAAAAACGAATTAATATTTCGTAAAAACGAATTAAGTTCCGGGAAAAAAAGTGTGGAAAATGTCACCTTAGGGGCTCCGTATAATATGTATCATGGCACAAAAATATTTAAATGCTGCAAAGATTATTTGTGAAATTTGTGATTTGTATGGTCCCCAAGTAAAAAAATGAGTGTGCCCTAAACGAGAAAACAATGGGCGGAACTAAATAAAATGGAATTTTGAAAGGGGATCTGAGGTTATGAAGCCTGCATATCACTGACAAGACGTCAAAGGACAAATTTTAAAAGCAGGCAACATACCCTAAGGTTGATTATACAGTATTGAAGTAGGAATACTGGAACCACCCAAATTGAAAAAGGCCATTTCTTTTCTCATTTTCTATCCGAACATTTCGATATTTTACTCAGTTAACACTTATTTATTTTATTTCGATTGTGTTGTAAGCTATAAAACCTGCATATCACTGACAAGACGTCAAAGGACAAATTTTAAAAGCAGGCAACATACCCTAAGGTTGATTATACAGTATTGAAGTAGGAATACTGGAACCACCCAAATTGAAAAAGGCCATTTCTTTTCTCATTTCCTATCCGAACATTTCGATATTTTACTCAGTTAACACTTATTTATTTTATTTCGATTGTGTTGTAAGCTATAAAGCCTGCATATCACTGACAAGACGTCAAAGGACAAATTTTAAAAGCAGGCAACATACCCTAAGGTTGATTATACAGTATTGAAGTAGGAATACTGGAACCACCCAAATTGAAAAAGACCATTTCTTTCCTCATTTTCTATCCGAACATTTCATTGCTTTTCTTAGTTAATATTAATTTATTTTATTTCGATTGTGTTGGAAGCTATAGGCTTATTGAAACAATCTCGAAACTGTTCCTGGAACCAACCAGTACCAAGTATTACGTGTATCATTTAAAATTATTCTTATGGTAAGATTCAAACGTTTGAATTTTGGTTTATTACACGTATATAGTAAAATGTAAATTGTTTTTAGATATCTTGTAATTAAAAAAGACATAATATCATATTTCTAATAATACAGTAAGATTAATCATGTAATCCATACAAGTGATTTACATTAAAGTAGTTCCAAAATAATATACATTTCAGTAACATTTCAGTACTTCATTGTTAGAAACAAGCTTTGTACATGTATATAAATATGATACTTTGTGTAAATTATATTCTCAAATTTGTTATTAAAATGGCCTTTTCCTAAACTTGTAAGCATTTAATCTTGCTTCCAGCGTTGCACAGTCATATAACATTTACTG